TGTGTGTGTCTGTGTGTGTCTGTCTGTGTGTGTCTGTGTGTGTCTGTCTGTGTGTGTCTGTCTGTGTGCGTCTGTGTGTGTGTGTCTGTGTGTGTCTGTCTGTGTGTGTCTGTGTGTGTGTGTCTGTCTGTGCGTCTGTGTCTGTGTGTGTCTGTGTGTGTGTCCAATAAAACATATTTGAACACTTGCACAAAGTAATCAGAAGGTTTCATGAGATGCTGAGAATTGAATTAAAAAGGTGAATAAAAGTGATAAAGCGTTGATGTCAGGGCTGGTTTTGGGAGCGACTGAGAAACAGAGAAACATCTGAAAGACGATTTTAGTGGAAGACTCAGTGGAAGCTCGTATCTGTGCAGACGATCCTGTACCCCAGTTGCTCATGCGCGCGCGCACACACACACACACACACACGATCAATGTTACAGAATAGAGGCGTCCTTCGTGTTTACAACAGAACAGCTGTCAACATAAAAAAAACACACACACACACACACACACACACACACACCTATTCCTTGGAATAACAACTGCAGTATAACAGGCTTAAGTGTCACAAAGCCTGACAGTCAACACAATTCAACAGTTAATTCTTTGATTCTACAATAGGTTATAAAATAAAACAATCACTGTATCACATTCTGCCTGTTTGTGTCTGCGTTTAGTCGCTTGTATTCAAAGACTTTCATTCACAATCAGCTTTATTGGCTCAGTATGCCGACACATGTTCTGTTGTTTCTATAACAATGTACTGAGTCAGAAATAGAAATAACAGCGAAGGACAAGAACAACAAAGCTGCACAGAGAACAGTAAAGACCAGACAGGACTGTTGCATGTACAGATAATACACGCGTGTGCGTTGTGGACGGATGAACTTCAGGTACCAAAGCACTTACAAAATGAATGTAGAGCTTTTATAATGAAAACCTAAATGAGTTTCCTGTCGACGGTCGTGAGAGCGCAGGAGGCTGATGGAGGTTTAGGCAGTGAAACAGCGCCACCAGGTGGCCAACACTCACAATCTATTACGACTTAACACTGTATCACCCATACGAGTACAACTCTAGTCAGCTCTCATACTTCAACAATCAAGTATTTCTTGTGAGAAACACAAGAACTACATTTGTCACACCTGCACCAGCATCTTATTTTGGCTAAATCATTGTAGTGTTTGGTGATCATGGCTCACCATGTCGGCAGCAGCCCCCGTCCCCAGCATCCTGCGTGTCCAGTCAGAGGACATTGTTCGGAGGGGTTGACGTCCACCTCCCTGTCACCGTCGGCCTCTACTCTGGCCCTGGCCTTGTAAACACTTCCTCTGATTGTCCCGTGGGACCTTGTCCACCACACGTGTTGCTGGGGGGAAGCGGCAGCAGCCTCCTTTACTATCAAGGAAGCAGGAGTCTATCCTGGGTTCTGATATGTAAATGTGGACAATGCTACCGTTTCCTTCATACTTCTTGAGATTCAGCTGCAGGGAGTCACTCTAAGCCTGCATCTCTTCCTCTCTATTGTCTGCAAAGAATAAACAGTCAACAGCAGTGTACTGTAAACTTCTTCTCACAAAACAATGCACCGTAAATCAAACTTAACGGGAAGTTTTAATTTGCTTGTCCCTTTACTAATGTAACCATGTGGTTTGAATCTCTTTAACATTCATATGCAAGCAAACATATGCTTGAAGTAAATCAAACAAACACTACGAACACTTTACGACGGCTTCATCAGAACTGAAGCCTGCTGCGCTGTTTGAGTCTCATCACGGTGGGAAACAGGTGGTTTCCAGGTGAAGGCAGATGTCTGGCTCGTGCATAATACATGATGTGATACCGGAGCAGTGCGGATAAATAACTTATCAATCTGCTTGTACTGAGTCTGGGTAGAGGTGCTCGCATTGTTCCATATAGTAAAGGGAATATGCTGCGCTGCTGGAGTGAACAAGGCTCATCGCAACTTTTCAAAACCCCTGAAAAGTTTGACTTTTCTGAGTGAAGGAGAAACTCTGACTCGTTGGGTGAAATGCTCGGCCTCGAGGTGAAGAGGGTGCCGATGCGATGCAGCGCAGTGGGATGAACACAAATGGATTTATAGCCTCAATAAAGTGGAGTCCTGGACGCACTCGAGTCAGAGTAAGTTTCCACAGCGGGGGGGTGTGATGGGGGACGCTACCTGCTGCCCGGGCTTCTCATCTCATGGTCAGTTTTAACACAACTCTTCTAAAAAGCCCACCGCCCACAAACTGGCACAACACATTTATTAATGCAGTGTTGTGAAAGAATGACGATACATGGGCTGAGAATCTAGAATTAAAATGAATAAACTACGTGATCAGCATGAACACTGAAGGTTGAAGGTGTTACTTATCAGGTCGTGTTAATGTTTTTAATCAAACACGTACCTTTTTCTCTCCCTCTTTTGCATTCCCTCGTTTCTTCTCTCTCTCTCCTCTGGCTCTCTCCCCAGCACCGAATAGCTTCTTTGCCCACTCGTCTTTCTGAACAGCCAGCCGGTGGGTGTGGGAGTGGGGATGTGGTGGAGGAGGAAGAGGAGGAGGCGGAGGAGGAGGAGGAGAAGGAGGGCTCCCTCCAGATGGTGGCAGGTGGTCCCCGGGGGCCAGTGGGGCCCGGTAGCGGTCGGCCGGGATCTTATTCATGGGTGGAGGCAGGGTGCTGCAGTTAGCCGATGACCATCCGTCGGTGGACTCGGCGTAGGACTCCTGGTCGCTGCTCAGGCCCTGGAGGTGGTTGTGGTGGTGCTGCTGACGCCAGTCTCTCAGCACATGGACTGGAAGCCACCGCTGCGGCTCCGCCCCTGCACCTACTCCTCCAACCCCTCTCTTTTCTCCTCCCCCCACAGCTCCTCCCCGCTTCCCTGGTGAGTAGTGGTGTGGGTGGACTCCTCGAGAGTGCCTGCCGGGGACATCGGGGTGAGCCAAGGGGAGAGGGTGAGGGAGGTCAGCCAGGTGTGGCTCGTGACGGTAGTGGCCATTTCTAAGAGCTGGCAGAGGAGGAGGAGGAGGGTGAGGGGCCGCAGCTCCGAGGGTGGGGCTCCAGGCCTGCTGGGACGAAGGCGGGCTGTCCCAGTGGCGCGGCCCAGAGACGTGGCTGTGGTTAGGAGGACCTCCGAGATCGACTAAAAGCACCCTGTTGCTTTTCTCTTCTGGTAAAAAGTTGCCGATCCCGCTGTCGCTGTTGCTGCTGGTGCTGTGGTTCTGCTGGGCGTCGTTGTCCGGGTCGTGGAAGGCCCGGGCACGGACCCCCTCGATGTTGTCCCCCATGTCCCGGTAGAGGACGGAAACAAACTGGAGGAGAGGCTGAGAACTGGGCGGGAATTCCAGGCAGCCTCCTGTGTCTGGGTCGGGGGTGCACTCAAAGCCAAACCTCCTCGATACCCCTGAATGGACCTGAGGAAACAACAGTCACCACAATGTAATAACAACATGGCATAGGAGAACCTTTGAACTGTTGCTAGCTGTTTCTAACTACATGTTACAATTAAATCCTCTATTCATACCAGGTGGTGACAGAGATCTGGGTCCACGATGAACACGTGACAGGAAGTCCTCAGACTGCCCTCTTCATCTCGCCCGTGGCTGAAGTGACAGTCGTCGTGGTCGTCCGTGGCCTGCATCGTGACCAGTCCGAAGAATCGACGGTCATCGGGACAACAGGCGCTGAAGGCTAGCTTCTCTGCAGGATAGGTGGCCAGAACCTGACCTCTGTCGCTGCAAAGACGCACGCTGTCGTGCATGACCTGGCAGGAAAATACAGATCATAGAAGTTACCAGACATCATTAAAAACACGACAGACTTTGCTGATACAGGATAAAGTAATCCTGTTATTTATTTTCATGGTTTTCCAGCACTTAAATAAATCAAAAAATATATAGTAAACAAGTTCTCATCATCAGATGGTTCACAAAACATTCAACCGCACCTTCATAAGAACCAGTGAGTGGATCTTCTGCTCGGCCCGGAGGCGCCTCATGCTGCATCTGATGGCTTGCAGGCTGTCGCTCTCTAAGCTCGTCCCTACGGAAGCCAGCTCAATGGAGCCCAGATAGCCCACAATCATGCCCACATTGAGGATGCCCTCGCTGGGCTCCAGGCCTAGGTCGCCCCCATCTCCCACATCCAAGTCTTGCTCTTGCTCGTGTTGCTGAAGGTGGAGATGACGGAAGTCTGCGTCCAGGAAGACAGAGTCGTCATTCAGAACTTGGGCCATCTCCTCCTCAGAGAGCAGGTTCGGGTTGCTCTGGGATCGAGAGGCGTTCTGATACGGAGGGAACTCCGGGTCAGACAGCGGGCGTGGCTTTGATGATGAGCTGGGTCCAGGTCTGTCCTTGTCTGAGCTGCTGGAGGACTGGCTGGAGTTCTCAAAGATCATGTTAAAAATCCCCCCGGACTGCAGCTCTGCCACAACCTTCTCTGCCCTGTTGATGCCCAGCTGCTTAGAATCCAGCTTGGGTTTGTACCACCCGCCACGGGCTCCACAGCCCGGCCTGCTGTTATTGTTGTTGTTCACACTGTTGTCGTAAAAAACATCCAACTCGTCGTCACTCGAGCACGAGTCCGGGTAAGATGCTGCCACTGCGTTGCTGCTCTGGTGACGACTTGCAGTGGTGCGCTGGTGGTGGTGATGGTGCCGCCGGTGCCGCTCTCCCTCAGCGATGACCAGTTTCAAGACACCAGAGCAGCGTCCAATCAGTTTCACCACATCTTCGTGCGACGCCATGGAGACATTGATGTCGTTGACGGAGAGAATGTGGTCTCCAGAACGCAGACCCACATAGTCTGCAGGGCTGCCTTTCAGGATGCAGCTGAGGACACACGGGCCTTGGCCTGACAGTGTGAAGCCATACCCCGTTCTTCCTCTCGC